ATGAATTAGATAAATTAGATAAATTAAGTAAATTAGAATATCTCTGACATAATGCCTCCACAGCCAGTTTTATTGGAAGTAGAGCTGATACAGTTCTGGATATTAAGTCGAATTCACTATCGGAAAAATTAATTTGCAGGTTTAAGTCGATTATTGCTTTTTGGATTGGATTTTTCAGTTTCAAAAATCGTTCCATCATTAGGAGCAAACTGTTCCAACGTGTTTTAGAATCTAATATTAACATATGTTCTGTTTTATTTTCAGTTAGTATATTGTAACGGGGCGATTAGGGAGCGCTTGCGCGAGACCGAAATCGACGGCGATCGACGCCTGCGCAATACCCGCAGAGGATGGAGCCGAGGAGTAGGGAGAGGCCGCGAGACTCCAGGAGACCTCGAGTCAAATTCTAAAATGTAGAATAGAATCAGATCTCGATGGGAATAGACACCCAATTCTCACTAGCATTAGGGTAAATTCAAGTTCCAATTGGACATAGGTTTAGAAAGTCAGAATAGGCAGGAGTAGAACCGGAGTCAACCGGAATTTAGAAACATTTATGAAATAAAAATTACAGAGGAAGCAGTCTAAAATTAAATCCCAACCCCAGCGATCTCTACCATCGAGGTAGCCGTTCATCCCTAAGTCTAAATCCTTTTGAAACCGATCCTGGGACTGTGCTATGGCAACATCTTCCAAAAACACGAACATTAGAGCGTGAAAAGAAAAAGAACAGAGAAAGAAAAGGAGCCATACCTTCCATTGACAGAAGTCAATCGAAGCAGGTTCACATATGAAGAGCGGAAAAGGAAGTGTAGATCCATACCTTCAGCCTTGTCAATGCGACAGCTCTGAAGCCGGAACTGACACTATTCTCAATTGTGAAAGACAGCTCGGACTCACGACAGTGTTGAAAAGACGGTGCATACTGCACGGCCTAATCCGTACTATTACAATATATTTTTGTAATAAGGCATTTTTTGTAGGGAAACGTTTAAATATCTTAACAATTTTTCGAACTTTATTAATTATAGGTAACAATTCTTGATGAGTTAATATTTCATCCTCATTGGCAATATCTTCTTCAAAAATTACATTGTCACTATCTTCATTGTCAGCATCACCCCCACTCTCTTCAAAGTCGGAATCAGAAGTTTCTATATCCACGGTATTTGGGTTCTTCTGTTCTTTATTTTTTTGGTATAATACATCTATTACTCCTAATTGAATTCCATGAGCATAGCACAATTGCTGATTTGCACCAATCAAGTTTCCATCTTTTTTCATAACCGTTGCTCCATCAGTCGTTATGGATACAATATCTTCTTTCAGGGATAATCCATGTTTCCCTAATTTAGATTTAAGCACTTCCACACATTTTTCCGCTGGCATACTTCCCGAGACATGTGTAAGTCCTATATTCCAAATTTTTTTTTCAGAATTAATATTTATATTTAAATAGCATCTATTTCTTACACTTGTCCATTCATCAAATGTAAGACTAAATTTTTCACCATTTACATTTAATTGTATTAACTCGTGTTTCAAAGAATTGCGAACACCGTTACTGCAGTTTATAACAGTTCTTCTTATAGTATTAATTGATGTCGGTAGATTTTTAAAACCTCTGGCGGATAGTGATTTTCTTAATTCAGTAGAAGTACAAAACACTCGAAATGGCAAACCATCTAATGCTGTCATTTGACTTAAAATTTCGTCCAAATTATCATTTTTTTTTTTTTCAAAATAATCTAAAATCCCTGATGGCTTGGGCTTAGAAACTGTGCTTAAATTTGTATCTTCATCGCAATTAGATTTTTTCCTCTTTAACAAATTTGTATCATGATTCGTTTTTAAATGTGTATGGAGTCCGCTTGTACTTCCTCCATTCACTTTAATAACTTGAACATTTTTTACATTGTGCCACCATACTCTTTTCATCATATAAATAGGGAAACCAAACCGAAGTATTATCAACAGATTTTTTATGTTCTTTAAAGTTATTCTTATTCATTATTATGGGTTAATAAAATATATGTATATAACAAATCTGAAAATATTTTGAATCCTAAAGTATGATATGCAAATACAATGTGAATAACAAACTCACCAATTTAAAAAAAAAAATATCGAAATTTTAACTAAATTATTACGCACTTTCTTCACAATTACAACCTTGTTTTCACAGATACGATTATACTACTACCAATCCTGCGCGTGTGCAGTATCGCTCTGAGCTGTAGTAGGACAGTTTTGGCTCGCCTCCTTGGGTGATTCACATATCACATCACTTCTCCAGACTGTACGATGCAACTTTGTATTCACAGTCTAATTCATTTCGCCCGTTAGAGAGACTTAAAATAAAAACGTATACTGTTTGACTATATTGGCGACCCCTGAACATATGGTGAAGACAATTAAAAAAATTTCTAGTAAATACCGAAAAACCGGTATTTAAACTTGTGAATCCCGGTATTCGGTATCCCGGTATATTGGTATTGCAATCCCTATATATAGGTGTATATTGCTATACAAATGTACACGTGAATGGTGTTTTCGACACGCGCCGACAATAACGGATACCGTTTGCAGGGATGCTTTTTACATGCAGCAACTGCAACGCATACGTTTGTCAGTGGTAGTTTTTACATGAGCTGACTGTAATAAACACATGTCGGTATTGTATTTCCTAACCACCCCAACAGTAATAAATATGTTGCTGCATATTACTTTCTACATGTGTCAACATTAACTAACTCTTTGCCCTACAACCGCGTGTGAGACTCATGGTCAGGTATTCGAGCCAAAACTGATTATTACGTGCCTGGCCCGTGGTACATCGGTCGGGCCAAATGTAAACATAGTTTCGGGCCAACGCTGTTGGAACTTAAGTCGTAGGGGAAGGGGTTAAGAAGTACACTAGTGAACGTTATCATATACACATGTTATGCGGTAACTGTTATCTCAGTTAACTACCTTATGCTGTCACGATTGTAAATATAGCTGTCGTATTGTTGTGAACGTAATCATTCTTTGTAATAATGCATACTTCAATGTAATTGTACATTTAGCATTTTTAGCAGAATAGTCATTACTTTGTAGAACTGCTGTCCTTATATTTACAAGCGATTACTGTTGAATCTAACATAATTGCAGTAATGATAACAACTTTTTTCTCTCCGTGCGGGCCGCTCCGTTGTCCGTTATACCCGCTTGGCGCTCAGCGCTCCTAACTATATTTCAAGGTCGAATTTGATGCTATAACCTTGGAAATGTATTCTCCAAATGTATAGAAAGATTTTTAGTCAAAAAAATGTTGATTTTTTGGATTGGCTGGACCAGAGTCCCCCCTTAATGAGTTATTTCGAATTGAAATTTCAGTATTGCCAGTTGAACAAAATTCAGTCGTCTGCGTTTCCCTCGCTTACAAACCTATACATGAACACTCACGAGCGTACACGTCCAAGATCGGATTGCCCTCAAGACGGGTTTCCATACACGGCGAGTTCTGGAATGAGTTAGGAGAGCTCAGAGTGTTTTCCGAAAATGTTCCAATGCAGTTACATGAATAAACTTTAATTACACTTATAACTGACCTAATTAAAAATTTGAAAATACAAAAGTGAGGAAAATCTTATACATGCATTAAATGTGTAAATTAAATTACTTATTACACTTACTACTCATTTTTAAGAAACATGGAATTGAAAATATCTGACATCATAACGTGGAACTTTATCCTCCTGTGGAATTTATTGATGTGTTAGGTCATACAGGACCTTTTCGCATTTATTGTTCTTCGTGGTCAGTGACTAAGTGATAGGCACAGAGAAATGTTTTGTTCATTTTGGGAGGCTAAGTGCCAAAATTACATTAAATTTACGTAATTAATTATTCTATGTGAAAATCCATATTTTGAAGGTGTCAGTTTAATTCGCAAGTGCTCATGAGTCACGTGGCAAAATTTCCGACAGTTCTGTTATAGGGGCAGATTTATGTGCAATAATTAGTGGTCTATCACTGACCTTTAATGTCTATTGAGAATGTATTGTCCAAGTGGAAAATTACGTCCTCAGAAATTAGCGATATTAGTAACACTGAAAATATCTATCTCCCGATTAAATACATCAACCATTGCGCATTAATAATAATGAGTTCCCAATAGATTCACCGCTATTATTTGTATTTTATATCGTTCCTACAGGGTGAACGAAAACATTCAATTTGCCCTTTAATACGCTCGCCACGGGATGTACCACCTGTGGTGCATACCGAAGGGCAAAAACAATAGTTCAAAATTTGCGCCCGCGTGAACATGTTAAACGAAAAACAAGTTTCCACCCATTGACAATAATTAATTTCCCATTACTGCCATAGTCTACGGGCGGAAATAAAATATTGATGTTATACATTACTTGTTTGACACGTTCCGTGCCGCGTGGGACGTATACGTCCCACGATCGGTTTACAGCAGCATACTCATCATTTATTTTTAGCACTGAATGTGTTAAATGTTGAGATACGTGCTCTGCCAGGCATATGATATTTAACATTGCCTTTGCGTCATTCTGAGTCTTCAGAAGGCTAGGTTGGTGTTGCATACATTATGTTAAATAATTATGTCGATGAGATTTATTAGACTGGCAACTAATGTTCAATATTATAGAAAGAACATAGGTTCCCCGTGTTACGATGTAACACAATAACATGTGCCAAATTAATCCCTGTTCAACTAGAGCTTACTCATTATATCGGTTTTATAATATGTAGAAACTTACATTCGCGTTTTATGTCATGTTAATAATAAACGGCCGCGTTTCATGTCAAACGCGTCATATAACATCATGTATTATAAATTAAAAAATAATTGGGCTACAGTATTATTTTGACCGACTTTTCTGTGTTATTGCATATAACGCTGCCATTAGCCAGGTGTTATATATGTACTTCCGATATCCTTATAATTGTTCTTGTTTATATTTCTTTAACCTTTTAATTTGCAGATGTGAATCTTATGCTCAGATTTGCACAGCTGGAATTCAAATTTGGAGACAATGAAGTAGCTCAAACTTTGTTCGAACGCATTCTGAGCTCTTATCCTCAGCGTGTCGACATTTGGTCATCTTATGTGGATGCGTTAACTAAATCTGGAGACATAGAAATTGCAAGGTAGAATTATATTGGAATAAAACAACCGATTTTAATAACTGATTCTTCTATAACACGTAATACTTTTATTTATAGGGATGTATTAGAACGCGCAGTTGCTCAAGTCTTGCCAATGAAAAAAATGAAAACCATCTTCAAGAAATTCATTACTTTTGAAAATCAGCACGGTACATCTGAGAACATAGGCCATGCAAAACAGTTGGCAGTTAAATACGTCGAAAATCAGTGTAACAAACTATAATATATTTGCGTGTAAAATGTACGTACCTACGAAAAATATTTTTGAGCTATGTTTCTAGGTACGTAACATTTTTTACTTCACTGGGCATATTTGTATTTACATAAAGATAAGAATAAAAACCTGTGTAATTATTCTTAGAAATAAGAACCACTAATGTAAAGTAAAACCCATGGGAAAATTTAATCAACGTTGCTAAAAAATGATCCTTTTATGCCCCGTTCCGCCAACCTCGGTCTAGAAGCTAATTCTCGGTTACAATGAGTTGCATGTTCAACTACATTTTAACAATGGGCTACTCTTCATTAACCGCTGTTTAGATTAATCAGCCAAATTCGATCATTCACCTTCAGTTGATCGAACTTCAACCTATAAACCCTACAAACGTGCGGAAAACATGGATTAAGTTGAGTTTTTTGAATTACGAATTGGCTTATTAATTTTCCAATTCATTATTTGAGCAATTGGACAATTAAACAGTCAGTCAGTAATTTATTAATTTATTATGTAGTGTGACGAACAAACGAGCAAACCGTAAAGGAGGGGGGGGGGGGGGATTCCGGGCCCGCAGCACCCGGACGATCGCTCGTCACCTTCGCCCGATCGCGGAGTCGGAGCCGGTCCAGCCGAACTACAAAAAAAATTAGCTTCCATCAGGAACGAGTCTCAAATTGGGCGCCAGGCCTCCCCGGAGGCCAATAGACCTAAAACCTATACTCCCGACAAATCTCAAACTAAATCTCAATCGCTCAAACGACTACAAAAAGATTCTCTACCCAAATGGCTTGAACGGTCACTCCGCCTCGGCAACCCTCGCGGCGCGGCCGACGAGCTCACTCGCCAAGGTTCGGAGAGGTCGGGGATAAGACCAAAATGTGGGGAAAAGGGAAAACTCAACTTATCTGGGAATTCATAATAGGCTCGCGGGAAACAGAGGAATTCAGTCACTCTACCAAATAAGCAAAATCGAATTTGGTACTAAAATTTTACAAATTTATTCTAACAATAAAAAGAAATAGAAAACAATTGGATTAACAAAATAAGGCGTGATAACACAGAAATTCTCCAATAAAATCGGGTTAGACGGAAAGTCGCCCAAAAGAAAATGAAATCAGACAAGTAATTCTTGCTAGACAATTATACGAAAGATAATTAAATTAGTGAGACCGAAAGTCAGCTAATGATCGGATCAATTAAAAAATTTCAACCTACCAACGGAAGGGAGGCGATATCTTAGATAATTAATAGCTTTCTCGGTTCGCCGCCAGGAAAGCCAATCAAGCGCGAAATGATCAAAAGGGGCTCCGATCGATGTAAATTTGAGAGTTCGTTAGCTTTCAGAAATTTTATCTCAGCGGGTTCCAATTTGCTACAATTCATAAGTAATTGTTACGTAGGTACCTTCCGTACCCTAACATAGGGAAAAACCCTATTTTTCAATCACCGGAGCTAGCCATGGAAATCCGAATACAGAAACGCGAAACTCTTGCGAAAGAATCCAACGAGTTCATCGGCCAAACGGCTCCAAAAGGCACCGACCGACCCGGGGCAAACAACCTGATGACTCCGCAACGCATCAGCACAACTCAGAAACGCCACCCTCACCTGGGCCCTAGGAAGCCCCCACCAATTGGAACATCCTGCTAATAAAACCAGCAGTCCGATCAAGACGGGAGTCATAAGTCATTAGTCGAAAGTTTAGTCAATTTGTAATAAGTCAACATCAGTCGTCATTGAAACTTCAAGTGGAGCTCCTGGTCCCCGGTACTCCGTTCCTAGCGAGTCAGNCGAAATTACTCGAAATTACTCGAAATTACTCGAAATTACTCGAAATTACTCGAAATTACTCGAAATTACTCGAAATTACTCGAAATTACTCGAAATTACTCGAAAATACTCGAGGTGACTCAAAATTACACAGAATTATCGAACTCACGCAAAATGACTTCCTCCAGACAAGAGAAAAATAAAAATCGCGGACGCGGGCGACCACGTGGTCATCACACGCCTTCTCCGCCTCCGACCCCGAGGGAAAGACAATTTGACAATCCTACTGACTCTACTTCTGGTCGCGACTAAAGACTCAACTACGAAATTAAGTCGCCGAGGACCCAAACCCTTCATAAATCCTCGGGCGACACTTACTAACTTTCGCGACCGGACAATTTACAAAATGTCCTCAAAAATGCAGTCCTTGGCCGCCGAGGCTTCCTCGACGGCTTCCTTCTTCAGACCGGGGCGACGAGCGGTAGCGCACGCGAGACCTTCGCGAGGTCGGCGCTGTTTACATGCCGATCTTATGCTTAGCATTACGCTAAATATGATCGAATTTGGGCGAGCTCTGGAACCTTCTCTCAAATATTCTGGCGAATGTTCGAGAGCACGCCGCAGAACTAAACATATTGGCGTATGTCTTCCAGATATTTTAGCGGAACCTTCAGATAATCCGACCTGCAACTTAAAGACGCAGAATTAAAGCCTATGTCATGCTTCCCCTCCCCTCAGGTCGGTGACCGCCGGACCCGCGATCATATAAAGCCTGAAAAGACGGCAAAAATGGAAAAAATGGGGGGAGGAGGTCGTGACGCCGCCAATAATTCCCACGTCACAGTAGTTAAATAATGATTTTTACATTAATTACTTGATGAATTTATAACTGTTTATTCTGCAACGAATATTTGGTTCGTGGCACGCACACCCTGCAAATTAATGCCCCGATAATTTCTCCTGCTGTTATCCCGATACTAGCGGTTGGCGGAACTTCGAACGGAAGGAACACGGCTCGTTTTTCATTTCGTAAAGGGCACCAAGTATGTCACGACATACTAAGAGACCGTAGAGAAGTCCGGCTAGGGTATTCGGCCCGCTATCAGAAACCCGCGAGAAAAATCAGTCCTAGGCCACTCAGCCCCGCAAGGGTCACATGACCGTTTGTGGCACGGTAAAGCTGAGGGGTCCTGAAAAAGCGGAGCTGCGATATGGGACTGGAATTCGGAAATACGAAGAATATAAGTGCCCGACTCCATTCCAGTAGTATCCTAGCCCATTCTTTGTTCCATAAAATAGAAAAAAAAAAAAACTGGGCCCCGTAAGCACGTGAATTGACTTTCAGGTCTTAGATCGCAGTTGGAGCCGCAAGCTCCTTAAGAAGTTTTTCACCCGAATTTTCGGGAGCCACGGAGCACAACGCTCACCTAACACCGCCCGGACTTCACGAGCCAAGACGGACCTTACCGGCCAGGCGGGTCGGTACCAATAAACCGAGGTCCCTGATCGTGACACAAAACGAATATCGATATGTACGCGTGGGACGAGAGAAATTGAGCGCGTATTCGAAACCGCGCATTTAACCGGTCACGCCAACAATCGAACTTAAAGACGAAACAATACCACAGGGATCACGTGTCGAGGAGGCAATTAAACAAACCCTTCGTCTGTAAACCTGGGTCTTTCGGTTTCGGTTAATAATTTTCTAAGAATGGAAGGGGGGCCGTTGCTCCTCCCACCTAAAAAAAGTTATCTAGGAAAGGGAACCGACCCCCAAGGTTGAAGGTCCCAGACCCTTCTGAACAGTTGCTGTGAGCAGGTCAAATCCAGAGCAGACACGAAGACCCAGGTTTACAGACGGCGTATACCAAAATAGCAAGTGTGCGAACATTCTTTTTTACTTTTACTGTGTTTTTTTTTGTATCAGTGAACCTACAGAATGAGAAAAAACAATTTTTTTAAGTTATATATATTTTTCTTAATGTTAGGACAAAATGAAGCAATGGTCGGCTGAACAGGTGACGCGCGAACTTGGCCAACGAGAAGTAATTTCGTATTGTGGAGGTGAAGACAGCGAAGAAGAAGTCGATGCTATCGAAGAGACTGACAGTGACGCCAGTGAAATTAGTGTTTTTGATCTAGAATCGGGGAAGAATGAAAGTGAAATTGAGGATGAGCCAGAGACTGGAGAAGGAAGCAGATGGCGCGAATCGGACGACATTGGCAACCCAACGCTAAAAAGTAAAGAAGAAAGCGATGCTATTTTTGTAAAGTCGACAAAGTCAGGAAAACGCAGTACTGCTCCGCGTAGTGTAAAAAAAATCGGTCTGTGAATATCATCGACTTGTGTGTTGTGCACGTTGCGTAGAATAGAATAGTCATACTGGAGACAAAATAATTTTGTTTAACCATGTAAAATTTAGTTTGTAACATAAGAGTTGACGAATAGATATTTTAAATTATGTATTTTTTTAAATAGACGATAAAATTTTTTTTATAAAAACGTATGAATACTAATGCGTAATACATGATTTAATGCCTTTTTTACCTGTCCAAACCTAAGCATTTAATTTTAAATAAATGAAGCGGAATATTTTTTGTTCTTAAAGCTGTATTATTAACCTTCAATTTGCCATTTTTTAAGTTACATTATCTTAATTTTTCATAAAGTTACGATTTTTTTAGTAAATCACTGCATTCCTACCGATTTGCTCCATTTGATTAACAAAGCATATATGAAAAAATCAATTTTTCTACAATTTTATGATTGATATATCAAGTTTAAGGTTTCTACTATTAGCATGCATTTTTTCGGATTTTTTACATATATTAACAGGGTAAAAAAACAGCCGGACGTGAAAGACCCAGGTTTTCAGACGGGAGTCCAGAAAAAACGTTTACATACGAAGGTTTAAAACAAAATCACTATATCCTGAGCGGAAAGGAACTTTACTGAAACCCACAATAGGTTTGCTCAGCAAGTAGGTAGACTCAACAGCAGTTCTACTATCCGGAAAACGACACGGCAGACACCGGGGGTATCCTGGACAATGAACCCCGTGGCTCGCCAGGATCTCCGAATTTCGAAAACTCCCCTCCAGTCACTCCGTCGAACGCCGTAAAAATGCCAAACGCCGCCAATTGACAGCGTGTACACTAGATATCCTGTAAGGTATCGTGGCGCGGTAATTGAAATCCTGATTCTTCCTCCTCGACTCGTGCCGACGGTGGGAAGGACTCGAGATGCTCTCTCATCGATACGATACTTAATACTACGAATTTTTACCATAGAATGCATAATTACAACACATACTTACAGCTAGTAATTGCTCACGATAAACCCCAGTGCGGCCAACTGATGCTGCAATTCAATTAATAGAGTATTTGGTACTTACCACCACCGCTGCGCCCTTCATTGTGCCG